CCGCCAGTGATAATGGTGTTTACACTGGCGGTTTAAGTAAACAATCCGCCAGTGTTAAAGCATTTTCACTGGCGGTTCGTTTAAGTCAGCCGCCAGTGTAGCTTTCTTAGCACAGGCGGTTCACCTAAATCTGTCGTCTCTGTAATATTTTTTCCAGAGGCGGTTTATTAGCAAAACCGCTAGTGAATTGTTTTTAAAAATTCAAAATTTGGCGCCATATGTTTCCCGCCAGTGATTTTTTTATATTTCCCGCCATATATTTTCCGCCAGTGAATATTGTATAAAAATTGAAACGAATCCAAATAGATATCACAGAATATTATTTTTGCATAAGCAAATGGGGAGCTTCTTCCCTGTCTTTACGCAAGCTCCATTCTCTTCTTCTCGATAGTCTTTATTGATCTTGTACCTACTCGCATCACAATTCGGACAAGTCTCCAAGTCTTTGTTATCGTCACCTCGATATAGGATACAATGATTCCTACACGCGTCGATCTTTTTGACACCCATAGTCAGTGGACTGATTAGCTTCTTTGCATAGTATGTGTTAGCAGGCATTTTGTTCCCCTTTGGAAGGAGTTTTGCAAGAACACGCAAAAACTCATTGAAGCTAGCATCAGACCAGCCATACCGAGACTTTAGCATCAAAAACTAAAGGACAGCTCTCAGTGTGGTGAATTCATCGGTATAACCCTTAGACTCTTCGTACAAATGCTCTGTTGTTGCCTTCTTCAAGGCCTCCATTCCTTTATAAGGAACATAGAAGGATCAGAATAGCGGTGCAACAAGGCCTTGAAAAACTCTGCTTATTCACTTTTATCAACGACTTGAACTTCGTCGACGTCTCCACACGTATTTTGGACGCCGACATCATCATCATCACTAAGATCCGCCATAACAGGATCAATCGGGGGCCTATGGTGTCATGTCCCATCATCCATATTCAGTCCATCAGCATGAACTGGGTTGGCTTCTGCGGAAGACACGGAACTACCCTCTCCATGTTTCACCCAAATCAAGTAATCCTTCATAAAACCACGACGAACCAAATGAGAACTGATTTCTTCTGCATCCTCAAATACAACAACATTTTTGCATTCGATGCAAGGACAACATATGTACTTCATCTTCAGTCTGCATGCATGCCTCCCAGCGGCATCAATAAATTTATGAACCTCCAAATGGTATGACAGGTGTAATCTTGATAAGCTGTACATTCATAACGATCTTTCCATCTTCAGCTGTACAGAAATTATAATGGTAATGTCTAATTAATTGGGTATATTTAAAATTATTTGATGAAAATTAAAATTATTGTAGTTATTTGAATAAACTAAAAATTATTGTAATTTCAAAACATCTAGTTTGGTGCAATTAGTTATTTTTTAGTCTATATTTAATATTCTATGCATGTGTCTAAATATTTGATAGGACATGGAGTAAATTTTATGGGAGGAACTAAACAATGCTGTCTGGTTGCTTCTCCCGTTCCGTGCTGCCCAAGCCACTGGGTCCGGGGCTCCGGGCTACTAGCTAGTGGACTTGGATCGGACGCGTCGACGATGTGAGGTCTGAGCGGTGCAGAGGGAGAGGAGAGAGCATCGGGCGCTGGCGTCACGGCTGTCGTTGCGCATCCATTCCTGCCACAGTGCCACCGCCGAAGCTCCACCTGTCACCTGTGTCTCTGCTCACGTGGGACAAGAGATGAATCGGCAACGGGCAGACCGCAGACGAGAGCCGACGCCACTCATCAGAACCGTGTCCCCCATGGGCCATGGCACAAGAAGTGGCGCGGCAGGCTACGGCACGTGTCGCCGGCTCGCCGCACATGTGGCGGTGGCGCCTGATCTGGGCATGCGCAGCTTCCGTTTCGTTTCCATTCATTCAATTCAACGATGATGATGACGACGTGGGGGGTGAGAAGGCTTGCAGTGCGCTGGATTGCTTCGTCCATAAGTAGATGCCTGCCCCTGCCCACGGAAGAGGAGGAAGGAAGCAAAGGAGCAGACGCCCACGGACGACGGACCAAGTAGAAGTAGGCATGGCGGAGGCGGAGGCCCATAGCATCGTCATCGTCGGCGGCGGCATCTGCGGCCTAGCCACCGCTCTTGCACTTCACCGGTGAGTTCATTTGCTCCTCCTGCTCGTTCGTTAGTTAAATTAATTACTACTAAGTAGCATCGTTGCTGATAAACGACACTGCGATTATTTACCAGCGAGTAGGGGTAGTTCTAGTGATTGTCTTTTTTGTTGTTGACGCTTCTGGATGCCTCCACTACCTGCCTACACGAAGACGTTTAGTATTTCACTGAAAATACTATCATTTCAGAGTCGTCGGTATTGTATATCAGTGGTCAAATGAAATCGTGGCGTCCTTGTATCAAAGTTTCGAGTTCTGAAGGTACGGGCGATGTTGAGTGACTGCTGATGACTTGCACGCACCCAGGAAAGGGATTGCTAGTCTTGTGTTGGAGAAGTCTAGGAGTTTGCGAGCAGATGGCGCGGGCATCGGCGTCCACGCCAACGGATGGCGAGTCCTGGAGCAGCTTGGCGTCGCTTCAGAGCTCAGGGAGACTGCCCATCTTATCACCGTGTATATATCCTTGCTACAAAAATTAGGAATCTGTATCGCGGCTTGATTTGACCACCGACAATGCACTCAGAAATTAAACGGGCAACAATTTCAGGTATCATGACGTGTGGCAGCAGGGAGACAGAACCAGCCGAGAAAAGGTTCCAGTAAGGTTAGTACTCAGGGAGTTGCTGCCTTCCTGTCCTGATACGCTTAACCAAGCAGCAATGCATAAGCATGCATGCAATCTTATTGATTTCTTTCTTGCTACTCCAGGACGGAGCTCCGATGCTTAAACAGAAAGGACCTGATCGAGGCACTGGCCAAGGACATACCTGCAGGGATGATCCGCTTCGGCTGCCGCATTGCTGCCATCGATGCGGATCCCAGCAGCCATGGCGCCGTCCTTACAATGGCGGATGGTACTACCATGAAGGCCAAGGTAAACTTGCAGTTGCAGACAGACGTCCCAGTCCGACGCATTAGTTGATGATCATCTCCAATATTATTCTCTGCCTGAAATTATTCTCTGCCAAATCAAAATTCAGGTCCTGATCGGGTGCGAGGGCACCTACTCCGTGGTGGCTAAGTATCTTGGACTGTCTCCGGTGAGAACCATCCCACGCGCAGTGCTCCGGGGGTTCACATGGTTTCCGCATGGGCATTCTTTCGAGAACGAGTTCCTGCGCCTACGAGTCGGAGATTTCTTCATCGGGCGATTAACAATCACCGACAACCTGGTCCATTTCTTCATAACAATGCCCAAACCTCCGACAGGTATTCACCCTCACGGACAACCTGGTCCATTTCTTCGTAACAACGAGTGCCTGCCTGATGATGTCATGAATGAGCCAGCAGATGTCAGCACCAAGGACTTGAAGAAAGTGAGGGATGTCGCTCTAAAGGAGATGCAGGACGTAGAATGCCCCGCCGAGATCATCGACATCGTCCGCGACTCGGACCCGGAGTCGCTCAACTTCGTCACGGAGTTCTGGTACCGTCCGCCGTGGGAGGTCATCTTCGGCAGCTTCCAGAAGGGCACCGTGACCGTGGCCGGCGACGCGATGCACGCCATGGGCCCATTCATCGGCCAGGGCGGCTCGGCGGGGCTGGAGGACGCCGTCGTGCTCGCGCGGTCGCTGGCGCGGGCCGTGGACGACGCTGACGGTGCTGGGAAGGACGCCCCGGCCTCGGCGCGCGAGACGATGATCGGCAAGGCGATCGGGGAGTACATCAGGGAGAGGAGGCCGCGGGTGGCGTTGCTGTCCCTCGAGTCCTTCATCATGGGGGCGCTGCTGGTGCGCTCGCCGTCTCCGGTCACCAAGCTGGCCTGCGTCGCCGTGCTCATTCTCTTGGGGAGCAAGTCGCTTAGGCATGCCTACTATGACTGTGGTCGCCTCTAGCTAGCTACCACCTCCAGTATCTCAGTTTGTTTACCCAAAATATTCATAGCATAACATTTATATTACTAATGTAATTATGTAAGTTTGAGTACTACCAAGCGTGTGCATGTACGTTGCTATCTGCTAGCGCTATCACCATCAACCACCAGCAGGTAGAGCTATCTGCTGGCGCGGCGCCAATCCATGGACCGCATCCCCCATGGCCATGGTCGACCTCATCGCCCTCCACATGTGGTCATGTACTCTTAAATCGGGGCGTTGGCCATGGTCAACGCTGCCATAGCGACCTTTTGTTCCGAGCGACTGACACCTAGGTCCCATCCTACAGTCCTACCTACCCAAAAAAATGTCATGACCCTATACAACCAACAAACAGGAGGGTCCAGCCCCTCCCCACAATCACCATACTCGCAGTCGCATGTATGTGATCGGCAAAAGACCAGCAAGCAAGAGCATAGCTTAAGAAAAGAAAGTGCTAACTTGTCGCTCTGTCAACATACTCTGCTGCCTACCACTACAATGAATTGTCAACCTAAAAGCACAGCATGAATAAAGAATGCTTGATCCGAGCAAGGCAAGCACAAGCATTAGCAGACGGGGAAAAAATCTAGCTAGCCAAAGCTCTTAAAGAGCTCTGACAATAATAGGCGAGCAGTAGCTAGAATCTTCAGTCTCAGTGAAGGTATTGCTACCATACTTTTACATTCATGAATCCATCTTTTCTTTTGCCCATAACAGGATTAAGATTTACATTCTACAGTATATGCCATAACTGTCAAGAAATGAGCGAGGAGTAGCAGATGCGAGAAAGGCGACATACAACACAGAAGCAGAGCTCAATCAGGTACCAGATGGGACAAGGCCACCGCCTGCCATGGATTTGGGAGCAGTGCTGCAAAAATATATTTGAAGGAAAATTTGAAACTTCAGAAACTGTAACAGGACTGCTGCTACGTCAGATCAAAGGCGTCAGGTATAGGATTCTTCAGCAAAAGGATATGATACAAATCAGCTGCAGGCTTGACTCATCTGCGGTGGTGGTAGTGCCTGCTGTCATGCCTGTCTCTGTCTCTATCCCTGGAATGGCGTGACGACATCTCAGAGCTCGAGCTGTAGTGGCCCGAGTACTGCCTGCTGGGGTATGAGTGCGGGGTACAGGAACCATCGTCTGCTGGCAGATTATCATAACGAGGTGGGCTTCTCCACCCCCTGTCTGAGTGTGACCTCCCTAAGCTTGGGCTCAAAGGCCCATAATCGTGGGAATGGTATCTCGATGAATAATGATCAGCACCAGGAGGTCCTCTATCACGGTAGTCCCTCGAATCCAATGAGTGGTAGCGGCCTGAGGACTGAGGCGGAGCGCTACCCCACAGCCACTGGTCACCATTCTCTGGGATGGGGGCGTTTATTCCAGGGAATTCCACTGTCATCCTTTTCTTAGGTGGGGATGCCTCGGCTTGCTCTGAAAGCTCTCCCTCCTCGTGCTCTAGTTTCACCTCACCATCTCCAAATATGGTGATACCCGAAGGTTTATCTTCATCGTCAACCACATCTAAAAAGCACAATCAGTGAGCAACAATATCATGATGAAAACATCTGCTATAAAACTTATGCGATGCCTAATGTAAACAAATATACACACACTTTGAATTCACATGCCATCCTGATGGTGATGCTGTTCACTGTATGACTTCCATCTAGGAATGAAGCTAATTGGATTGCAGGTGCGTGTAAGATAAAACGATGTATATAATTGATTGGTCGAACAGGCCTAGTAAAAAAATGGTTTAAAGAACTAACCCAATGCAACTTTGTGGTTTTCCTTTTAACTAGAGTAGTCCAAACTATGAACATCAGAAAAAGAAAGTTTGCATACTCTGCAAATATTAAAATGTATACTGAAGTTGGGCTTACCTAGGTAGCCCGGAGGATACCCTAACTCACGCATTCTATGCAGCCAAGGAGGGGGATCATTTTCCTGCAAAAAATAGTTAATCTTACAATGTGATTCTACCATTCTGAATTCAAAATAAACTTTGTAGAGTTAAGTCAATTATTTGTTCAGCATGAGAGATCATTCGATCCCAAAAAAAAAAAATGAAAAACACATAGGACTAGTACTCCTGTAGCAAAATGAATGTCTGCTCAGAGGGCTACCAGATCAAGTGCGACAAAAAGTCTTAACTTTGCAGTGTTATTACCACTTTGTTGAGGCTTCTTGCATCATTTGCTAATAGGAAAGTGACTAGGAAAAGCTTATTGCAAATGTTATACCAGCAGGCCAACACAACAAATGCATTTAGTTGCATATAAACATGATCTGGATCTTTCAAGTATGGACATGGAAATCTATTAATCATGGTTGATGGTAAAGAAGACAAAGGGTATTTCACTCCACAAAATTACTTAACCTTGAACAACAGGAACTTCATGCAGCTATCCACACAATAAACACGACACTTGAATAGACAAAAGTTGCTATTTCAACACATATATGCTATTTCATTAAGTGTACAAACATGATGTGCAAAACTAACCGAACTCTCATGGGTCATGTATTGAGAGTAATAAACTAATGATTTTCATCTCATGAATGCTAAAATGTAGTAGTATTTCATTGCTAACAGGAATGCAAATAAATGTCATTTTTATCTCACTCTAAATGCATCAGAATACTTATTCGCACTGGTTGACAAGTCAAACATAACCATATTATCAGTGAAATCAGGATGTTCAAACTTAGACTGCAACTGATATAGTCATTACCCCGATCCCCAAGCACTGTCTAGTTTCAGGTCCCAGTACTCCAGCTTTCAGATCATCAAATTTGCCAGGCGTTTTCTGGTAGTATCGATTTTGCACACGGTTCACATTAGATTGGTTTCTTTTCAAATTATGCTGCTTTCGGGCATTGCTAAGCATGCGACATTGTCCCGAGGCTTTGGGCAATCCTTCAAAGCATGGCTATAAGAACCACAATTGAAGCAGCGTGAATCGTCCTTATCCGCCCTGCTGTCAGAGAAACAAGGTACATCAGTTGTTGGTCCAAGTGAAAATGTAATTATAACATTAACAATGAGAAATGAGAACGGTTGTCAAAAGCCAAAAATGGAAGTCTATCTTTGGAAGAATAATAACAAAATACCAGAACAAACAGACAGTGCCAGAACAAAAAAAACTAAGCAAACGAATTTTAAGTATTATAGCCAGACAATGGGAGAACAAGATACTGCCACATGAACTATTATCAGCTGTTAAAGGACCATTTCTGGCATAATTTTGTAATTTATATCTAGTAAACAATAACGGTGAGTTACAACTAATTAATAACAAGGCACCCAGACTTGCCACAAGATAAGCAAATGAGGGACAATTTATCCATTAGCCTATTGAATCTGAGTGCATATACATTAATACTGCCAAGATTTTTCCTCTAAATAATTGCAGGGATAAATTTGAGACAATAGCATAAGTGATTGACCTCTATAACTCTTGTGCTTATCTATCTAGGATGCTTATCTTAGGAGTAGTTGGTGCATATGTCAGCACCTTATCTTCTTATCTTGCTTTAGCATCTACTTAGAATATGCTGTAATCCTTTCTTAAGTTGCAAGTTTGCTACTCCTATATGTATCAAATCCTGCCATGGTTTGTGGCATGGCTAAGTAATAGAGAAAATCTGCCCCAAATACCTGTGCCTTTGGCTAACAATAAGCAGATATATTAAGATACACATATGAAAATGGTTGATTGATGAATATCGAGACAGTAAATATCTAAAAAATTGACAATGATTGAAGCCCCTAAATGGAATGCAGGAAAATCCCTAATTCATGTGGAAGTAGAACATTTTCATGCATCATTACATAAGATAACTGACAAGCTCCAAAGTTTTCTTTACACGTCAGGCAATATCAAAACGACTAAGGACAGTACAGATATACACAAAGAAAGTTAATAATAAGAGTAAAATTCACTAGTGGACCCTAAACTTGCATGGCAGTGCTATCTGAGTCCCTAACTCTCAAATCTTGATTTATGGGTCCCTAAACTTGTATGACAATGTCATCTGGATCCCCAGCTCTCGAATTTTGATTTTTGAGTCATAGAACTTGTATAGTTGTGTCATCTAGGTCCCTAAACTTGCATGTCAACACATAATTAGCATGCCACATTAGCGTCATATGTATGTTGATGTGCAAGTTCAGGGGCCTAGATAACACCGCCATATAAGTTTTAGGACTCAAATATCAATATTCGAGAGTTGGAGACCCAAATGACACTGTCATACAAGTTTAGGGACCCATAAATCAAAATGCAAGAGCTAGGGACCCAGATGATACCACCGTGCAAGTTTAGAGATCGCCCGTGAATTTTACTCTTAATATAATAACCTCTACCTTTCAGTGTTTGATGAATCACCCAGAGGAGTCGAGCCCAAGGTAAACTCCCGATCATACAGTGGAACAGTATCATCATCTACGGTATCACTTTCCTTTGCTTGGTTATCCACCCAAAATGACTTGTCAGGATAAGAAAACAAAACAAGGTGAATAACTATATTCCAGTTAAGTATCCCACGAAAAGCAGAAATGAATCATACAGCCAATTGTCTAAAGGTTACATCAAATGTTAGATACATATCAGTAACAAAGGACAGGAGACTATGCCCATGTTAGAATATATGGTACAAAAACAATGTGTTTCAAAGGAAAAATAATAAAAGCATATGGCTGCAAGTGGGAACAAACACTGGATTCAGATTCCAAAGTTTATTACTGTTGAATACGAACACAGTTGTAGCATATTTGCCATTCTGGGAAGGGATAAGATTGATTTAATTTCCAACATGTCCTCAAAGGATCAAAGTGTATCTAAAGGGGCTAATGTCACCAAATAAATAGTAAGAAGACGGATCAAGGACCAAAAACATGCAAGTCCCAACTGCAAACTTAAGGTTTATACATGGGAAAATTTTCAAATTAGCACAGTTAGATGCACTATCAGATGCCAATAAAGGACATCCTCACCTTAGCAGGTAGCTAAGGCAAGAGTTAGCTTACCAAGAATAAGAATACCTTGGCAATGGAAAGAAGAAACATAAAAAAAGGCAAATGGGAAAACGTAGAAGGCAAGAATACATTAGAACATCTCCAAGGCTCTACATGGCTTTTTATCACAAATTACATAATTCCAAAACAAAATAAAAAATCAGGCTCCAATAGACTTTGTAAACCACTCTTTCCACTCTCCAGAACCACCTTTCTCGCTCTCCACTAATGAGGCTAAATCACTCTATAAATTCAATATATGGTAGTTCTATCATCAATTTTTCACAAGAAAAATTATGACAAGCCATTGTAGTATAGATAACGAAACTTAGAAAGTCCATTGGAGACATATATATAAAGAGAATATTCATGGGATGGCTCTCCAAATAGAGATATAGAGATTGAAGTCTAGAGAGACTCTTGGAGTTGATCTTAGTTCTCACGTCAATCAATTAGAATTTTCTAGAGTACCTATAGCTATTTTGACACATGTTGCAAGAAATTACAACTTCCGGAGCCCATTCCAGAAGTTGCTTCCTGCAACATGCGTCAAAAATAGTAGTAGATTTTTAAACTTTGCTTTTTTTAAAAAAAAAAGAAAGAAGTTTTCTGTTATAGAAAACAGTCTTCAAAAGTCAAAATAGTTGTAGTTTTTTTTTTGTTATAGATATAGAAAAAAATGGAAACTAAAATGCATGCAGTCTTCAAAAGTCAAAAAGTATGACCACCTCTACATTTAGTTTCTTAGATCACAAATAATTAAGATAGGTTGTATGTCGAAGGTCATGCTAATGTCCAAATAACATCCATCTGAAGCCAAAGCATAATGAGAAAAAAAGAAGACAACACAAAATAAATCACCAATGACATATTCAAAGTAATCGTATATTATTGTTTCTAGACATTGCCAGGTCAATTTCAACATAATGACATACATACCACAGCACAAGATTTCTCTGAACCAACATGTAATGCTGGATAATAAGTCTCTTCACCACTTTCTAAGGTCCCTTCCACAGCTTCCTGTTATTTCCAGAAGGAAAATAAATATCACAAAATAAGCTTCAATTCTATCACTTCTAAATATTTCTTTCTGAATGAATTATCTTCTTGTACTGATAGGTTAAAAGGACAATACTGAATCGCTGCAAAGAAACAATTGAGCGAGTAAGAAGGCTTCAAAATTGCAAGAACTGGAACAAGTCCTGTTATGTTCCTTTATTTCTACTCCCCCATATTCCCACAGTAGAAACAGCTAAACTCATCTATGGCACTGTCAAAGACTAAGGACAAACAAATAAAAATGAATGGAGGCACATACATTAGAAGCATATATAATTGTAGGGAACAGTACCTTCAAATGGTGCTGCCTTCTGGTCTGCCATTCAGACCATTGTTGCATCAGTTGCATGCTTTCTTTTGCTTTCCTGAGATATTAAGATACCAATACTATTAAAAACATAACCAAATGGTTTAAAATATTTTCTGGAGCATGAAAGTTGCTACCACAAAATGCCATATGATACCATTGATATTATAGTGAGAATGGAAAGCATCTTGTAATTAACCTTGTCAAGTCAGTGTAGATGACACGAATAGAAGGCTCCTTTGATTCCACACGGGCTCTTTTAACTCCTCTCGAGGCTAAAAATGACATATCAAGGAACAACAACAGCTATAAATCTCCCCCAAGTTGCAATAACATGTTTTAGGATCCCAGGAGTACAAGTAGAGAGTATGTGCTTCTTATGCAAGTACAGTTCCCAGGATTCAATGAAAACAAAAGAATCTTCAGAAAACATAGACACATGCAGCTGCAGAATTATATTAACATAAATACATAATATTCCATTCAATAGGATACGACTTTCTTCAACAGAGACGCTGTTTGACTCATAAATTGGTGCATTTTCAGTCCTGTCGCCCTTGTTCAGCTTGACCTCAAAACCAATCACAGTCTGTACAGCTGCAAGAATGCTGGTCTGGGGCTGAATGGAAGCATCTGATAACTGATCCTTTCCAACCACTATGTCATCATCCGCGATGTCCATATCTTCTACTTGCCCCTCTTCAAGATCCAGGTTCCCAGCAGATGGCTTGGGATTACTGCCCACAACACCAGATTCCCCTTCTGGTTGGAGTTCAGATGCGAGAGGTTCCGCCCCATTCACATCAGGAGCTTTAACCTGAATGTCTCCCCCTTCATCTTTCGCATCAACCTCGCAAGGTGCCTCAAGGCTGATGAACTCGTCTGATGCCATTTCTTTGTGGGGCAAATACACTATGCATTCAACATTCCGGACCGAATCTGCAGCGAACAGTATATACTCGTAATTATATCAATCGAATGCACTTACGTTAGGGTTTGACTCCGAAACCAGGGAGAGTTTATTGGGTGCTCGGTTTCGCACAGCACGAAGGGAAGGGAAGGGAAAGGAAGGGAAGGCATACCTTGTGGGTGCTCGTCGCAGGGGCCGACGGAGACCTGGCGGAGGGCCGGCGGCGTTCGTCCAGTCGTCGCAACCAGGAAAGAAAAAACCCACGAGGGCTGTAGCTCACCGGGCTTGCCCCGCGCGTGCGGCCAGTGCTGTCCCCGTAGCTCGCTCGCGCCAGCGTCGAGGCTTGTCCGGTGGAGGATGGCGGCGTCCGGCGGGACAGGGCGGCCGGGATAGGGCGGACGAGGCGGAGGAGGTGGCGGGCGCTGGCCGAGGCAGCGGGACCCGGCCGGCGGCGGGCGTCGGCGGCCGCAGGGGGATGCTCGGGCGGCGGCGCTCCCAGGTCACGCGTCACGGCCTCGTCTGACTCACGCGAGTCGCGATAGGAGACAAATTCCAGCGAGTTCAATTAGGAGGAGGGGTAGCCTTGTCTTTTCCCATGTCCTGAACTGTGAAAACAGCCGGCTGGAATTAGTAAGGAGAGAAATCCTCAAAATCCGTTTTCTCACGGAATGGAGCACCAAACGGATCTCGCCGTAAACGTTAACGATTTTATACGGGCCACCCATCACCTGGAAGCGATCTGGTCGGGAATTAGACTAAAACGAATGGGCCCTCATGTTCGGGTTGTAAGGGATTAATTCTTCCCGTGGAACCAATCCACATAGCTATAGGTGGGGAGATCGCCGAGGTGCGGTGGCACCTTGTGGGGATTCGTTCTCCTGGTAGCCTCCGTGACGCTCATTGCATGTAGCTCTCCAAGAAGGATTCATTCCAGGACTCTAGAGGCCCCGGCTTGATTCGCATTTAGGTGAAGGGTTTCTGCTGCATGTGGCCTACGCAGGATCCTCGAGTGGGCTAAGAGTGCACATGTTTTAGGAAGGAGCGGGGATTGAATCCGGTTCTAGGTATGCGTCCACAACCTAACAAGCCCTTAGGCTATCTCCAACAACAACAACTAAAATACAAGATCTATTCGCCTTTTAGGTAACGCTTCTGAGCAAAAAGGTTCAATACCTATTCTAAGATCTTCTCCAATAACAAGACACAAAAAAGAGAATCATTTCTACAAATGGGTTTCCAGGAGAGAGAATACGCATATTTTGGTTGTGCCTCTCAGGCAACCCAAAATATATCTCCCGTACAAATACTATGTTAAAGGCTGATTTGGGTCTCTTGCTACCCATTTTGGGTTTTGGTGTCCTTGTTGGAGACAGTCTTAGTGCCGTAGCTCTAGGAGCTTCGTCTCCTCTTCCTTTGACACTGTGCTGCACTATTTTCTGCTGTAGCTGCTCATCCAAGGGTTTTCGCCCTGTTTGAAATACTCATGAACGGTCGAAAGCCGGAGGAGCTTTGATTTGAGGATGACACCCACCACAAGTCTTGGCTCTTTGGAACCAAGAGCCACCGGAGCTCCACCAAAGAGGCCCTTATATCCAAAGAATTCACATGCACAGGGTTAAATTTTAAAAGGCTTGCGAATTCGATGTCAAATGTTGAGGGACGTGTGAACTCAGGGTTAAATATCAAAATTTCTCCATTTCACTAGTGTTTGGCTCCCTTTATCACATTGATTCCTAAAGTAAACAATCCAACAGGTGTCAACGATTTAGGCCTATTTTTCTTCTGAATTGTGTATTCAGAATAATAGTTGCATTTCTATCTACTTTCCATGTCTCAATATTGATTTTTCATGTAGCTAAACGTCCATAAGTTTTGTACACTTTGCTTGCCCTTGCAGTTGCACGTGTTGATGTGCTAGAGTTTAGCAAGCTAAAACACTTATGAACAACTTTGTATTATTAGATCTGAGGATTTTACAGGTCGGACTGAGCTCGGACTAGGTTGAAAAAAAAAACATGACTATTTCATGGCAAAATAATCCCACCGATGAGGTGATGACCCACTGCTCGAGAAGGGCCTGATTTTTCAAGCCTGGTTAAAATAACATATAGTGTACAGTAGCTAAAATAACGTCCCGCTTGAATTTATTAGCTTGGCTCATCATTTATGGAACAATGTTTGTCTTTCGTAAAAAATCAGCTTCAGCTGCCGCAGAAATCATCAACCAAACAGTTCGTAAGTATCTTGGTCTAGGCTCGGGCTAAGAAAAATCATTTTAGGAACAGTCTGTCTACTACACAACCATGTGTTTTATATAGTTTCAACACATAAATTTTTTTGCACCATAGGATTAAGATCCAACATCTTTTATCCTTCTTCTACTTTCAGCCTCCAGCCTTCTTCTACCTCTAGACAATCACAAATCACAACATCACATATCCACATATCACATATCACAAGAAACAATTTTTTTTCTATGGAAAGACAAATCACAGATCGCAGAGGAGGAGGAGGAGAGGTCTACCTGGATCCGCTGCCGCCGCCACCGCCACTGCCATGGCTGGCGCGGGCGCGGGCGCCGCCGCCACCGCAACTGCCATGGCCGGCGCGGGCCCTAGACGTCATATATGGCCACGCGCAGCGTGCGCCTGCGGCCGAGGCGTTCCATCCGGCGAGCACGGGCGGGTCGCCCCACGCGCGCTTGATCTGGAGCAAGAGCTGCGCCTCGTCCGCCGCCGGCTGGGAGGACTGCGAGGCCGCGCGAGGCAGCAGGCAGCAGCAGGGAAGCAGCGCGAGCAGCAGGCTAGGGAGGCACGACGTGGTGCCTCCATGCACGCCGGTTATGACATGTGGACCCTAGACGTCATAGATACAAAAAAAAATTATTTGTTTTTTTGTGCTAAAACACATATGTGTTATATAACATTTCTATTTAGGAAATGGGATCTATATCCAAGCCCTATCCACTAAAGCTCGTGGCAGGCCAAAACTCATCGGGCTCGGGCCAGGCCGGGTTAGGCTCAATTTATTCAGGTCTACGCATTAGTCTAGACTCTTTTACAATTGCAAGGATTGTTTGGATCAAGGATTTTGGAGGAAACTTGTTCAATAGGAAATGAAAGCAGCCATGTTTGGAACAAAGGACCGTTTCCTACGGTTCCAAAGGAAAGGCAACTATATACACGCAAAAACAATGAAATGAAAAAAATCAACTCAGGCCCAAGGGAAGGCATCTTGCTCGCTCTCTTTGCTCTCCTCTCTTCTGGTCATGTCTTCCTCCATCCCGCCATGGCCAAGCCCGAGAAGAAATTAGTGGAGAGATAAATCTGCGACAAGAAAGCTCATCTAGGGGACAAAAAATCAACTCAACTCCTTCACTACTGGAACAATGTTTTGGTGTTCCCCAATTTGAAGGGGATGATTCAAGAAAAAGGTAATCGATTTGATAGCAAACCAATTTTCCCTTTGGATGGAATTTTGTTCATTATCCAATTCATAGTTGGAAGTTTTAATTTCGATATGAAATATAGTTCTTTATTGTCCTTGTTACAGTCAGCAACCTTGTTTTCTTTTTCTATATGGATCATGTTGTCTCAGAGGAATAACCATGGGGAGGTGAGTGCCATCAGTAGCACCAAAATACATTTCTGCATATCTATATCTATCTATATCTTTTATAAAGTCGATTCTCACTACAAGTTTTATCTCAACATGCGAGATATCTACATCAACTTTGACTAATATTCATGTCATATCACTAACTTCCAACCTCTCAATACAAACTATCCATGTCATCTCCACTTAATTTCATTCCACTTTCTTCACAATCCTCGCAACAACGCGTGGGGTATCTTCTAGTATCCATTTATGATTAATATCAACACCATGATAAAATTAATATTGCCATTGATACAAATAAAAAATACATGGATGGAAGTATGGAACAAATTTAAGTTGTCTTAAGACGCTATGTTGAGTAGAGAAGGTAGTTGTATATAGTAGCATGTGAGTTGTGTAAGAGCATTGAGCATTGCTCTGAAACGATGGCTAATTGTTCCTTCACTATGCAAAAATTGATCTTTGCAATGTTCGGTTGCTTGCATTCTTTGATATTGCATAAAGGAATATGCCTAGCTGCTCTTCCAAAGATAGATATTATCTTTGAATCGGCAGCAGTGGTGAAGTCAGGGATGGGCTAGAGGGGGCTCAGGAGGCCCCCTAACTTTGATGTTTTTTCATTGCACCTATCTAATCTACCTCGTAACTGAAGAGTAAATGGACCCCCTATTGACATTTGTCCTCCTAAACCTAAGTTCTGGCTTCGCCACTAATCAATAAGAAGGGTGTTTTCATGCAGTCTCTGAAAAAGAGCTTAAGAAATCTCTCTTTCCATATGGAATTTACATTTGCATAGGGCCTCATGTCTTGCTAGAGTTTCATGAATAAATGTGGCTCCATTTCAGATAGAATTGTGTATTGCTTTCTTTTCGGGTGATTGAGATGAGTTGCCTTCTTTCAATGTTGGGTGGACAAGGAAAATGAAGTTATCTTCATTTTTGCAATCATCGGCGATAGTTTGGGTCCAACATAGAAAGAAAAGCACCAGCTATCAGAAAAATATGGTTGCTTAGCACATGGATGGATGGTGTGTATTTGTATTGTGCATGTAAGGTCCGAAGAATGAGCATGTATTTGTATTGTGTAGAACTACTTGCCTTGCTACTCCCACATGTTTATATATAGCATACGCAGCAACGGCTAGAAAGAGGCAAGCAAGCAACGGCTAGTGGAGTGTACAAGGTGATCTCGCAATCAATCAAGCAATGGCTAGAAAAAGAGGCAGGCACTACTTTGTCCATGGAAAAAAAATGCCAAGATTCAAAGGCTTCCTGCAATCCAACTAGCCCAAGATTTCAATTCATGTGTTTGTGGTTTTCAGTTTTTGCTTTTTCCTAGCTCTCGTTCTTCTGTTTTACAATCCT